GGTGTAATCGAGGAAGATTTTATTGGTCATTCCTGGAAAGAGGAGCATATTGATCTCTTCCATGGTATGATTGTACATTGGTGATCCTACTTCTAATAGACGATATTTGTCGCAGTTCACACGCACACACACACACAGACACACAGAGCACCTTGCAGTGATCAGAGGTGTGTGTTTTATTGGTGTTTTCCAACCCAGAGGCATTGCTGTTGTTTGAGGCTTTTCCTTTGTATGCCTGGTAGTCTGGGAAGGTCTAGAGGGAGGGAGCCGCCCCCCTGCCTGTCTACCTTTCCTGCACCTGTCCAGGCAATGTATTAGTAGTAGGATCGCAGTGCCTGGACGATCACACAGCTCTCTCCTGCTGCTGGCCCCACTTGGAGCTCTGTGTCTCTCCAAGCATCTGATCTCTGGATCCCAGCTAGAGATTAGTCATCTTCTACAGCATCTCTTGACACACCACCCCAAGTCCCAACATGTCCCTTGGGCTCAGTCTGGAGGATCTGCCTGGAAATGTGGATTATGGTGATCATGGCTGTGATTAACACTGCATGTGAATGGGCCTGCATTGGGAAGAGACGCTTTGTACATAGAGATCCCTGAGAAGTGTGAACTGGGAGCTTCGGAGACTCTTCATTACCATATGTCAACTTGGCCAATATACAAACTTTGTCTACATATAGCAGTCAGGTGTACTCAGTGCTACACTACAGACGCCTGCAGGATTGCAGTAGGTGCTGCTGATCAGGACAAGCTTGTTCCCTGTTATCCCCATCCTTCACCTGGACTCCATGGCTCCTGTAGAGGTGGGGAGCTATCTGGCCGGACTGGACACCTTGGGACAAGTCGGCTCTCACTTCTTGTTGCCTCCTGCCAGGGAGAGCCCTTTGCTGTACAATGACCCCTTGGCACAAGCCGATCGCCTCTCCCGGAGCGCCCCTTCCGACTTGACCCATCTGCAGGGCATCCTGCGCCGACGGCAACTCTACTGCAGAACTGGCTTCCACCTGCAATCCTGCCCGACGGCAACGTCCTGGGGACTCGGCAGGATCACAGCCGCTTCGGTAGGTACACCCCAGCGCAGCCAGGGATCCGCAGGGGACCTAAAGTCACTCATGGGCTCCTAGCTCTCTACTGAGGATTCAATGCACCTTACAGCGATTAGACCTTTCACAGATAAGAAAGTGTAAATCCTCGCAGGTGTCCTTCTAAACAAATAGTAAAGTCCATCCACTGCTGCTCAGTTTTATAGAGATCTCATATTTACTTGAAGTGTACTCTTCTAATATCATAGTGTTGATTTAATATACCCCATCATGATTTTCTTTGTTTTGTCCTCATCAGATTTACAAATTCTTTTTTTCTGTAAGTTTGTTTCAGCCTGCTGACATTTTATATAATAACAGGATAGGACAGAACAGCCTTTCAAAAGGATTTTGTTTAACATGGGTTAATCATTGATATAACTCAGGGAACCCCTGTAATAATTACTGTATCTATAGTTTGTGGAACATGTGAGTGTGGTGATGGTCAATGGGAATAACACTCCTTGCATATCTGGTCATTGGGAAAAATGTTTCGTATCTTGGTGGACATTGACAAAATTGTTCCTTACATTTATCAGTTGGAAGACTGTTCCTTACATTTATGGTCAGTTGGAAGAATGTTCCTTACATTTATGGTCAGTTTTTAAGAGTGTTCCTCACATTTATGGTCAGTTGGAAGAAGTGTTCCTTACATTTGTGGTCAGTTTTAAGAATGTTCCTTACATTTGTGGTCAGTTTTAAGAATGTTCCTTACATTTGTATGGTCAGTTGGAAGAATGTTCCTTACATGTATGTGGTCAGTTGGAATAATGTTCCTTACATTTATGGTCAGTTGGAAGAATGGTCCTTACATTTATGTCAGTCAGTTGGAAGAATGGTCCTTACATTTAAGATAATTTCTAAGAGTGGTCCTTACATTTAGATCAGTTTCTAAGAGTGGTCCTTACATTTAAGATCAGTTTGGAAGTGGTCCTTACATTTAAAATCAGTTCTAAGAGTGGTCCTTACATTTATGATCAGTTCTAAGAATGTTCATTACATTTATGATCAGTTCTAAGAGTGTTCATTACATTTATGATCAGTTCTAAGAGTGGTCCTTACATTTATGATCAGTTCTAAGAGTGGTCCTTACATTTATGATCAGTTCTAAGAGTGGTCCTTACATTTATGATCAGTTCTAAGAGCGGTCCTTACATTTATGATCAGTTCTAAGAGTGTTCATTACATTTATGATCAGTTCTAAGAGTGTTCATTACATTTAAGATCAGTTCTAAGAGTGGTCCTTACATTTATGATCAGTTCTAAGAGTGGTCCTTACATTTATGATCAGTTCTAAGAGCGGTCCTTACATTTATGATCAGTTCTAAGAGTGTTCATTACATTTATGATCAGTTCTAAGAGTGTTCATTACATTTGTGGTCAGTTCTAAGACTGTTCCTTACATTTTGGTCAGTTCTAAGAGTGTTCCTTACATTTATCATCAGTTCTAAGACTGTTCCTTACATTTATCATCAGTTCTAAGACTGTTCCTTACATTTATGGTCATTTGGGTTGAATACTCCTACAATGGTGGTCAGTTGGAAAATGCGTCTTACTTTGGTCTGCAGTGGCAAAAATGTTCCTTACATTTGTGGTCTTTAGGAAGATTGTACCTTAAATTTATAGTCAATAGGAAGAATGCTCCTTACATTTGTGGTCAGTGCTAAGATTGCTCCGTACATTTGTGGTCAGTGCTAAGTTCGCTCCTTACATTTGTGGTTGTTGGGAAGAATGCTGCTTGTATTTCTGGGCAGTAGGAAGAATGCTTCCTACATTTGCAGTCATTAGGAAGAATCCCCCCCAACAGATAGCTAAGCAGATAATAAGTGTCAGTGGCTACTTATCTGTTAGGCAGAAGTTTCTCATTGCTCAAGGAACCCCTAACAACCTCTGGAGAAACCCTATGGTTCCAGGAAATCCTGTTTGCAAAAGGCTAGGATAAATAACTACATTGAAGTATATAATTATATACTATTAATAATGATTATTATTTTATCTTATATTATTATGGTGTGCTGCATGCCCTCAAACCCACTTTTGGCCTTTTTTTATGGCAGTAGTATACCAACCCATGTACTGTAACATAGAAATAACAGTGAGGGTATTCTTGATGCCTATAATTTCTGATATAGAACAAAATGTACAGAAAGGGATTTTTTTTGTTTTTCTCATCACACAGAATTCAGTATGTACAATGGCCAGGTACAGTTACAGATTCTGGAGGGTTGTGGCAAAAAATGTTTGCCTCTGGAAATTCTACTAATTTCGAACCTTCATAAAATGCACTAAAAAAGCTGTTTTCGTGAATGTTACATTCAGTTTGGAAGTATTCCCACGGTTCTGTCTTCTCAGTAAAAAAAAATGTTTCTAAAAATATGTTCTACAATTCCAGGTTACTAAATCTGACTTTATAGGATTGTTGTATCCCACTGAGACAACATCTAGCATAATGTATTTCATTTCAGATCTTTAGGTTTAAAATGTTTCTTATTATTTTTAATGTTGGTAATTGCGTTGAATCAATATGTTAGTGATGGTAGTTGGTATTTGTGTTGCATAAATATGTACGTGATGGTAGTTGGTAACTGTGATGATAAATTTGTAGATGTGGTTGTTGAATTTGAACGTTATGCACTTGCATCTTACGGACTATCTGTTGCATACAAAATGGTAGATATAAGGCAAGCATTCTTGCTTTGAGGTGCTTGGTCTTTGGGTTGATTTCCACTTGGGACTCCATCTGCGTGAAGTTTGTATGTTCCTCTTGTGTTCTCCCTAAACATTCTGTTCATAGATTTCTGACTATTCTGGCTCTAATCTAAGTTACCCACTTGGCCATGATCTAGCCCAAGTCTAAAATGCGAAAGGAGTAAGGTTGGGACCTAAACTAGCAGTCTGGCCATGTACAACCTTACAAGTAGTTCAGGAACTATTACTACTTGATGTTCCCTGTAGGGCATAAAGGTTCTGGATATAGCATGTGGTCAATGAAATAATTAAGGAATCCCCTTCCCAAAATAAATGTATCCACTTCCACTGTACTGTAAGTAGGTTACTGTACCTCACAGCACACAGCGCAGACCTATACACCTCTCATTCTGAGGACAGGCAAGGATGGAAATGCTTATCTGACAGGAAGAGTGAATAATGATTGAGATATTTATTCACCACTCTTTTATCTGAACAGACTAGCTATTGTTGATAACAACTCCTCCCGCCATCATATTGATTTAGCCACTGTAAAGCTGATTAAAATAGTTTATCCCTTTCCCATACCCAAGGTAATAAATATTAATTCTTCTTCTTCTTTGATGCTTACCAGTATAAGGGTTTAATTAATCTTGTAAAATTCAGAAATTATACATTTTGAAAGATAAATGGTTGTGCCAGTTTATTACTCTGAGCAACACAATTTTTGATGAAGTGAGAAAACTCTTGTATTGTATGTAGACAGGAATCCTTTTCCTAAGCATAAATATTAGGTAGAGATCAAATATTTGCTGTGGTTCTTTTATATGGAGCTCCCTTTCATACTGCCCCTATTCTAAGCTGAGCTTCCTCTGATGTGGTCTCCCACTGGTTGACTCACCTGCTTGTTGTGATTTTTTTTTAAGACATGCTTTGAAAAAGATAGCACAATAAAGACAAAATACCACCATCATTTTCATGGGGAATGAGTCCACTTTCTGGGGCTTCATAAAAAAAAATAAGCTGCATGCTGTAATGTTATCTTGGAGTTTTCTATCAAGTGATCTTCCTCATTGTTACGTACTGAAGATTTCTGTTCAGCCTGGATGATGAAATTCTCTTAAATGAACTCACAATTTTGTTTTCCTCTTGATAGGCATTCTAGAATTCATAAGTGTGGCTATTGGTCTGGTGAGCATAAGAGGTGTGGACAGTGGCCTTTACCTGGGCATGAATGATAAAGGGGAACTCTTTGGATCCGTAAGTATATATTCGACTTAAATTCAAACATAAATCCGTTTTTAAAAGGCAAGGAGGCCATAAAACAGTTGTACAAAGTACAGTAGTTGTAAAACATGCAGATAGTTGTAATTTTTTAGATTAACTGTAATATGATTATTGCTGGTGGTTAAGTTGATTAAAGTGAAGTTCCAGTTGAATTAAAAAAAAATAAAAGTCAGCAGCTACAAATAATGTAGCTGACGACTTTTAAAATACAGCCACTTACCTGTCCCTTGGTCCAGTGATGTCCTCACCATGGCTGGTTTCACCATCAGTCTTCTCTCCCCAGCGCCGGCATCTTCAGTGGGCACAGGGCTGTGACAGCTTGCTGCTTCACAGACGGGTGCCCACTGCGCATGCGCGAGTAGCGCTGCACTTTGCGAATGGTAGAAGACTACAGGTAGGGGGTAGGACAGCTTATGCTTCTGATCATCTTTGGCAATCGCACCAGAAGTTGGGGAGGGTACCTGTCAAATTCGGGTACCCGCTCCCCAGGGAACAGGGAGCAGGGGCGAAGCCTTAAAGCAGAACTTCCCTTTTTGGATGGAGCTCCACTTTAAAGTGGTTGTAAACCCTTCCAAATACCTAGTGAAATGACTGACCTCAGGTGATACACAGAAATTAAATCAATCCTCCTCCATAAGTTATACCTGTTTATCTGCAGTATTCTCTTCTCTAAATCGATTCAAAGTCCTGAATGTATAAAGCTTGTCTGTCAGAAAAAAGGGGGCAGAGAGCTGAAGTTACACTCTGCAGAGCTCAGTGAGGAGAGTTCTGAGAGCTGACTGGAGGGAAGGGACACACCCCCTTCACACAGGAACAGAGCTGAGGCTGTCAATCTGTTGGTCCCTCCCCTGTCACTATTTTTCTCTTGATGTCAGGAAAACTCATCAGAAGTGACTTATGCTGATAGCAGAGCAATGAAGCAGCAGACAGAAATGGCACTTAGTGCTCTGGATTGAGACAAGTACACACTATAGAGGGATATGATTTGTTCATATTTCATGCCTGAGGTTTACCACCACTTTAAGTCACTGCTGTCTGTGTTGCGTTAGTGAATAAGGATGGCAATAAATCACCCAACCCCGCTCCAAAAATTATAGGCACTGTGCCCACTATGCAAAGATCAGAGATGGAAGTGCTCACTATCACACATAGATTTTCTGGTTTACTGTGGTGGCTGGCTCTGTGTGATGGGGTTTCTTTTACTCTTCCCAGTGAGAATGAGCAGGAAGGTCCACTGGGCCAGCAGAGGTCTGGAGAGGTTTTCTTTCACTTCCTGCTGAGTCTCTTGGACAAGAAATGAGGCAAAGTCTTCACAGTAGGACATGGATGGCAGAGAAACGTAACCATTTTGTACTCTATCCCATAACAAGTTTTGGCAATAGATATACTTTAAAGCCCCATTCACATTGGCATACTGAAATGTCCATCTGTGCAAAGAACTGTCTTTGCCTGCACAAGATGCACAAGTCTTCTGTGCATCTGTGGGAAGGCAGTCCCATATATGTCTACTGGGATGCAGCAGCTTAACGGACACAGAAACTGGTCCCAATTTGACAGCCGTGTGGGTGCGGGTGCATATCCCCAAATGCAGGCAGTGTATGGCTGTCAAATTGGAACAATCAGCCAAAATGCCATATCATGGGGTATAACTACCTCTTTCTCTGACTCACCATATGTAAAGGTGTGGATTTTCTAAACCAAATACTTAGCATACAAAAAAGAGAAGCAGCTGACAAGAGAAAACTGCAAAAAGATCAGTATCTAAATCCATAGCAGAGCGCTTTGCACAGATGTATGCATAAAAGCTCCAAGGAGTTGGACCCTCCTATCTCTCTTGTATTGAACTGTATTGTTGCTGTATTGTCTCCCTTTATATTGTAAAGCGCTGAGCAAACTGTTGCTAATGGCGCTATATAAATCCTGTATAATAATAATAATAATAAAGCAATTCTAAAGGTTCCCTTTTTTTTAAAATAACAAACATGTTATACTTACCTACTGTGTGCAGTGTTTTTGCACAGAGCAGCTTGGATCCTCCTCTTCCTTGAAGGCTCTCCTGGCTCTTCCTGTCTCTCAGGTGCCCCCACAGCAAGAAGCTTGCTATGGGGGCACCTGCTGCTCTGTGTGTCTATTCACACATGGAGCCATGACTTGGCCCCACCCCCTCTGTCCTCATTGGCTGACTGGCTGTGATTGACAGCAGCAGAAGCCAATGGGTCCCGCTTGCTGTCTCAGCCAATGAGGAGGTGGAGACCCGGGACATCCGAGGCTGTCATTCACATCACTGGATCACGATGAGGCTCAGGTAAGTATTGAGGGGTTTGGGGGATATGCTGCACACAGAAGGTTTTTTACCTTCATGCACAGAATGCATGAAGGTAAAAAACCTTCAGCCTTTACAACTATGTTGTGCGAATGAGGCCTAATTCTGGGAAAGGACATGCTGAACAATTTTCTTCAGTATACAGGCATGGTGCAGTATTGAGAGATTCAATATAGCATTCTGCAAGTGTGTCAGAGATTTGGTATAGTAACATTTTTGCTATAAACTACTCTTCAATGGCTGCAAGAATATAAAAAGTAAGCAGTTGATACTTCTAAATTAAAATGTTTATAGGTATTGCCAATAAATATGAAGCTATAACAGATAGAAACCACATCAGTTGCACAGAAAACTGAAATACAAAAACACTTTATAATTATTCCCCATTATAAAAAGGTAATGAGACAAATGAACCTTAATTCTGTATGCCCATTGAATGACAGCCTTATTCAAACATTTTGTTGGGCTTTAGCTTGTCTGGTATTATGTTCACCAGCACTGAAACAACACATGAAAGAATAGGATATGGTTGAAGAAGAGAATTTCCCATGCTTTCAGCAAAGTTTCTTACAATTGTACTGCTCTGCAGTTAATGTGCAGTTATGTTCTCATGTATTACCTTTTTGGTGCTGCTCTCTGCTTACATATATTTTATAGATCTGATTTTTATTACCTGAGGACTTTGTTGTTGTTGTTCAATTAAAAACCAATATTATCACTAGATTGGTAAATTGATTTTTTTTCTAGGAAGGATTAGTCAGTGGAAACAGTGGCACTTGCAGGCTGAATGTGGTACTGCATTGTGTTTAAAAATACTCCAAGGAAAAAAGAATACAAAAAAGTTCTGAATTTTACTATCCATATTAATCTTTAAAATGTCTATTTTAAACAGGAAAAATTAACCTCTGAATGCATTTTCCGGGAGCAGTTTGAAGAAAACTGGTATAACACCTATTCCTCAAATCTATATAAACATGGAGACTCTGGTAGACGATACTTTGTAGCACTTAATAAAGACGGAACTCCTAGAGATGGAGCTCGAGCTAAAAGACATCAGAAGTTCACTCATTTTCTGCCTAGACCAGTGGACCCTGAGAAGGTACCTGAACTCTATAAAGATGTCATAGGATATAGCTGAAAATCCACAAGGGTTATGAAGGATATCTATGCCAAAGCAGGTCTTTTCTTGTGGAAAATGAAGATGAAAGTATATAAAAGACCTAGAGTCTATGACGACTTGGATGAGTGTGACCAAAAAAATGTTGATGGTCATTGTAAAGACCTGCTACATTGTGGATGAAGATGCAAAAAAAGTGGATAAGACACAGAGCCAATATTCCTTTGCTGCTTAATTGTGGAATTAAATGGCCTTACAGGAAAAAGCATGGACTATCTGATTGGCAGTTGGTACCATATGACACATTCTAAAACTGTAAATACCAGAGAATGGATACATGGGAAAAAAAAAAACAATACTGCCTAACATTGGGGAAGATTTTTTTAACGTCAACTAGATAAAAAAACTGATTTTAAGCTAATTACATCCAAAACTTATGTTTCAATTTTGGTTAGTTACTGACAGAAGGATTCATATGCTGGCTGGTTAAATATGTCATCAAGAAATCCCAATGTTGCCCCCATCTCATTACAGAGGCAAATTATATCATTCTCCCTCAATGGATTCTTCAGAGAGAGAATAAAAACCCGAAGCCCAGTTGCAAGAGAGAGAACATGGTTTGCTATGGCTTTGTGGAAGGGGTACTGTCACATACTGCTGTTGGTTAATCTTGTTATTGGCATCTCTGAGAGATTCAGTAAGCCAGCATTTAATCAACAGGTGCATTGACCGGTAATGATATTTCCAGACAAGAATACAGTTTACAGCCTGTGGACTAACTATGCATATATCTATAAATATATATTTATTTTTTATACTTATTTATTCTAAATTCTATTTTTTACTGTTTTGTCAATAGAAAGGTCACATAGCTCTTGATTAGGAGTTATGGTGCTTTTTGTTTTTTTTTTTTTCTGTGCATCCTCCTATTAAGACATTCCAAACTATCATCCAAAAAATGCATCACTTTTGGAATGTTGGAATACATGACAATGGTTCTCCACCATCATAATGTTTAACACAGATCATAGAATCGGAATAATTTGTATGCTGACAACAAAGTGAGGTTATTGGATTCCTTCAATGTATATGAATGCCCAAAATTGTAACAATCTAATTTCCCATTTACAAAGGTATTAAAATACACATTGTAATAAAAAGATTGGTCCTGTTTCAATCTCTGACAAGTCTTTCTGCCTTGGTATCTAAACCTGTTGACATTAAACATAACCTAAATGACTTTTAATGCAGCTGGAGAGGTTGCTACATCATTTCATGCATTGTGGTTTGTCATTCCAAGCAATGTTAAAGAACATTATTTTTTAATATCTTTCAGAAGATAAGGTTGTGCCTTGGCAGCACATTTGGAAGGTTGTCATATGGTTTGTTTTGGCAACGATATCAATCGAAAGGAACTCAACAAGTTTCCTTTTAACTAATGCATAGAGATATCAGAGCTGGTATAATGTGCCCTTACAGGGATCTTGATAGTTGACAAAACATTTAGAAAAACAGGTACAGTATCCTGTAGAAACTGACCAAATATTTGCTTTTAATTTCAAAACTGATCTATAAAAAGCACCACTTCAGATAAAGTGATTGCCATGGTTCACAACAAATTTTCCGGAATTTTGACTTCCACAGCTTTTCCTTAAATGTGTCTAAATGTATCATTTTGTGTATGTCTAGACAATGGGTTATACCAGGAGCCACATGAAAATAATGTAATTTTTTAAAGGGGTGTTCAGCTTGGACTTTCTATAGTTTGCTGTCCAAGCTTCTATAGAACTACTAGAAGTAGGCTCTATGAAATCTATCTGCACCCTGCCCAACATCACCCTTAATAGTGCTTTCACTGGTTGGGAAATGAAAGCCTATAAAGTAAAAATAATTAAGTGGGACAAACAGAAGAGAGTTTTAAAATACCTTCTAGGCTCTCTGTAAGGGGAACCTATGAGGATAGATCAATGGGAGCTGATATTGCTGACATTTTTTTAATTGAGCCACAGATGATTTCAGATCCTGGCCTCTACTGACCTGGGAATTTGTTGAGTCACTGACCTGGAACAAGCATGCAAGATAGGAATTCAGATTTTGAAGACTTTACTAGCTGTGTGAGTGTCCCATGTCTGGTGACTCGCTAGGCTGTGATCATAATGACAGCATTGGAGCCTGAGCCTGTAAAGCCTAACTTCATTCAAACAATTTTTGTAAATCACGGAATCAGCAAGGCAGCCAAGCAACCTGCATTTTTAAAAGAAGTCAACAATGTTCATTTCTCTTAGTACGGGTTTTCTTTGCTGCTGTTTTTTGCATATTCTTTATTTACAGAAATTTTTCAGTATTTGCAATACAAATACGGTAGAGGAACCTGCCACAACTGACATAACGTATGGTTTACAGGTAAAAAGAATATGTAAGAATAAAAACACGGAATGCCATATACTAGTGAATATAAAAATCGCAACAGTACGTTTCCCGTATATATGAAAAGGTAGATCAGCAAAGATCTGTTGTAGGTTTCTTTGCTGCTTTTTTTTGATTTTGATAGGCCTAATGTTGTTTAAGGTGTATGTCAAACCTTTTTTTTTTTGGATAGAGTGGGGAAGTATTAAATTCACTGACTATGTTTCATTGCTGCCGGGGGCTTTTTTCATCGTTTATCTTGGTGACACTGGTTTTATTAGAAAGAAAATTAGAGAAATTCTGCAAAAGGGACAAAGACAAAAATAAAAAAAAATCATTAAGGAGAGAAAACTGAATAGTATCATGTTACCAATGGAATATAAAACAATATATTTACATTTGCACAAACACGTTAAAGAGGTTGAAGTTCAACTGCACACTATATATAGACCACAGCCCCCAAGTTTATACAACATTCCTGATTCCCTAAAGCAGTAACCACATTACATTAAACTCCAAATTGCAGTTTATAAAGGTAAAAAATCCTCACCAGGACAACAAAAACTCTGAAGAATATATCCAGTTATTAAGCCCCATCTCTGGGCAAAAAAAAAAAAAAAGTTTTCCTATGCAGTGGGGCTGTGCCCACACTTCACAGGGCAACTACTCGTCTTCTCTAGAGGCCGATCCTTCCTTCCACTGGAAAATGGCACTCCCCCATGGTCCAGCATTGGACTGTTCCTGGTCTATGGAGCCTGCTCTGGGCTTTATAATGTCAGGAACAATCCACAGCTCAAGACTGTTGGAGAACGGGAGTGCTGGACCGGTCTTGTGCTCGGAAGATTAGCAAAGTAAATCTTGTTTCTCCTCTCACTTAGACAAAATCAAGTATTTAAACCATACAATGTGGGCTGTGCCCACACTGTATGGTGGGCATGGGAAACATTTATTCACCGGAAAATGAGCTTTAATGTTTGAGGTGTGTCCAATTGTTCACTTCACAATGTTTACCATCACATTTGCACCAGTGTATTAGTATTTATAGTCTAACCAAAGGGATAGCACAGTGCAAGCTTTCCTTAAAATGCCACTTAAGAGCACAAAGTTTGGTATTCCTCTTTGAATAGATTCAGCTGAATAAATACTCAGAGCAGCTCTCCAGGTACAGTTGTTTGATGCTTTTGTAAATATTCATTCTTGAAGGAGGTATTAGTTATAGATTACATCTGCCTTATTTGGGTATATTAGTCATCAATAAAAATATGAATGTATAGTACATTGGTCATCACAGAGGACAAGGGGCACTTTTCACGACTGGAGGAAAAGAGATTTATTCTCCAAATACAGAAAGGCTTCTTCACAGTAAGAGCGGTGAAAATAAGGAATAGACTCCTTCAAGAGCTGGTTCTGGCCAGCACAGCAGATTTTTTAAAAAAAGACTTGGATTCTTTCCTAAATGCACATAATATAACTGGATACCAATATTTATAGGTAAAGTTGATCCAGGGGATAACCATTTGCCTCTTAGGGGATCGGGAAGGAATTTTTACCCTGCTGGAACAAATTAAAATACGCTTTATTGGGATCGAACATGGGTATAGGATTGTGTATATAGGATTGTATAATTTTTTTTTCCACTTTAAATGGTTGAACTAGATGGATGTGTGTCTTTTTTTTTAACCAGACTATGTACGGATTTTGGTCCTTCTTATGTTCATCCATTTTGGTCCTGTTAGATTCATTCGTAGTTGATTCAGGGAATATCCAATTGACTCTTGGGGGATCAGGACAGAATTTTTTTTTCCCTGCTGGAGCAAATTGATATAAGCTTTCTTGTTTTTTTTTTCCTTTTTCTGGATCGAATATGGATATAGGATTGTGTATATAGGATTCTATAAACTTTTTTTTCATCTTTTTAAATGGTTGAACTAGATGGACGTGTTTCTTTATTTCAACCAGACTAACTGTAACTATGTACAGATTTTGGTCCTTTTAGATTCATCCGTGTCCTGCACACCATAGCATAATCTGTGTACACTCTACCGCTTGTGTGGTTTTATGAATATCTTTAATAATGTGGATATAAATAATATCATATAGGGGAAATGTTCAAGTTTCCAAGGACATGTAATGTTGAATCTTAACCGGTATCCACTGATGGGAAAAGTAAGAGTAACCAGGGTTCCTTGCAACGTAAGTCCCAATAGCATGTTTCTCTGTGTGATTGCCATTATTAATGACACACTTTAGAAAAAAAACATTACCTGGTGTGAACACCGGAAAAATTACCCACCCATTTCTGCAGACAAATGCACTTCCAAAGGCATAATTCAATGGTGCCCACACCAATCCACAACCATGTTAGGTGATCTATAAATCATAAGAAACAATCAGAATTGATGACATTGTTTCAATCAGGAGAACAATTTTCCTGTAACTAATACATTCTTCTACTTTCACTCTGAAGCAATATCTTAGCAAAATCTCTACCTTGAAGAATCCTGTGTGCTCTATCCAAAGAGCAAAAAGTAAGCTAAACACCACATTTGAGCTATAGGAGATCTTACTTTTCCTGATGTCACTTTGGAGGTATGATCTGATACACAAATTTAGAAATCACATTTCAATAAGTATATTTATTCCCTCAGTATTGCATTTGGCACATTGTGATACCATAATTATCTGGCCATTGGGTAGGAAAATTAATTGACCTGTTTCAAGGTTTTGGGAAAATGGAGCACCACATATATAGGTACCTTTCAATTTTGCAACATACTGATGAGATACAACTTTCATAGTAAAAGTGGGCACAATTCACTAAGCGGTATCTTATTGCATCCGTGTATGCGGTAGGATACCGCACAGCATTTAAAAAAAAAAAAAAAAAATGTTTGAATTCACTAAAAAACACAACTAAAATACTGCATGAGTTATTTTATCAATTCATGCGGTATTTTAGTAGTGAAAACCATGCGTTAATGTTTCAGCTGTCAGCGGGGGTTGACAGCTGAATGTAAAAATAATTTTTGCATTCAGCTGTAAGTGGGGAACCCCACTGACAGCTGCTGACTCATAGGTTGTTAGGGACATGGCGGCCACCCATTCCTTAACAACCCATGACAGTACTGACAGATAACAGTACATACCACAAACCTGGACCACTACTTAATTATCGCATGCATTTAATTATTTATTTATTTTTGTGAATTGACTTTAAGGTCTTTTTATGTGGTATTTACGGAGTGTTTTTTCTATTTTCGTTAAATACCACATACTAGCAATAGTGAATTGACATTTTCAGTATCACATGCGATATGTGGTCATGTGACTGACTTAACTCATGCGATAAGCTTTAGTGAATTGTGCCCACTGTGTTTTTACGGATGGAGTGGAATGAAACATCATTGCTGGATCAAGAGAGATAACTTTAGAAAGTAACTCATTTTTTTAACCAGTGCCTGTGCTTTCTCAAAGTCCTAAGTAGTTTAGTATGTTGGTGGGAAAAATTGGTAATAATTATCCTTATATTGTCCTCATTGGATTTATTTGGTAATTGTTTTTTGGCATTAGTCTGCCTGCAATTGAACTTCAATAGTGTAGGAGCAGGAGTCTGCAACCTTTTTAATTTGTGTAAATGGTTTTATGTATTTGTGCATACATAAATATATAATTGTTTTATATTGCACTGGTCACTAGAGTCTTCTAGAGGGTCTTCTTTCTTTAACAGTTTAATTAGTAGGTGATTGCATACCTGTTTATTTTCCCTATATGTTGTCAAAGGGTAAGAGGATGATTATAGCATTATTTCTGACTGTGCTGCTTTTCAAATTGTTCACTGAACAGTGACTGTGCCCTATCAGATGCACTCACTAGTAGTGTGGCTGCATGAATATACTAGCCAACAGTAAACATTCCTTCATCCACACCAATTATCATGCATGGAGGAATCTACTATGAAAATTACTACTATACGACTACTTTACTATGAAACCTACTATTGATGTTATGTATTTATGGCGAACTTTTCTATCCCTTATAGAGCCCCTAATAGTATTAAAAACCCAGCAAGGGTTCTAACTCTTCCCCACTTTATACAAAACTAAGAAAAAAAGTGTTGCCTTGACATAAACTTTAAAACAGACACCATTATGCTATTTTAACCACTAGCCTACAGGGCACTTATACCCCCTTCCTGCCCAGGCCAATTTCCAGCTTTCAGCGCTGTCACACTTTGAATGACAATTGCGCGGTCATGCAACACTGTACCCATATGAAATTTTTATCATTTTTTTGAGACAGATAGAGCTTTCTTTTGGTGGTATTTAATCACCTCTGGGATTTTTATTTTTTCTTAAACCAAAAACCACTGAAAAGTTTGAAAAAAAAAAGTTTTTTCTTAGTTTTTGTTATACAGTTTTGCAAATTAGTGATTTTTCTACTTCACTGATGTGTGCTAATGAGGCTGCAGTGATGGGCACTGATAGGCTGCACTGATAGACACTGATAGGTGGCACTGGTGGGCACTGATGAGGAGGCACTGGTAGGTTGCAGTGATCGGCATTGACAGGCATCACTAATGGGCACTGAAAGGCAGCACTGATACATGACAATGATATATGGCACTGATAGGCAGCATTGACTGGCGCTGATAGGCGGCACTGACTGGGACTGATAGGCGGCACTGACTGGCACTGATAGGTGGCACTGATTGGCAGCACTGATAGGTGACACTGATTGGCATTGATAGGTGGCACTGACTGGCACTGATGGGTGACATTGAAAGGCAGCTCAGATGGGCACTGATATGTGGCATTGATGTGCACTGGTATGCACTATGTGGCATTGATGTGCCACTGATGGGCACTGGCATGTGGCACTGATGGGCACTGACAGGTGGCACTTCTGGGGCCACACTGGTCATCAGGGCACACTGATCATAAGTGCCCTGATGATTAGTGTACATGTCCCCTCGCGGAAAGCCGATTACCGGCTCTCCTCTCCTCCCTTCTTGAGCTGTCAGCGTGACAGCTCGTGAGGAGAGAAATGCCGATAACCGGCATTTCCGTGTTTACATGTGAACAGCTGTGATTGGACACAGCTGATCACATGACCGAGCCAACATCTTCGGCTCTTTCCGTGATCCGCTGTGTCCAAGGGACACAGCGCACCAGCGATCGCCGCGCTGCGCGCTCCCTGAGCCGAGCATGCGCAGTGAGAATGGTAGGACGTCATATGATGTCCTATCAGAACGAGAGAGAGAACCACCTTGTGCCCGCCATTGTACTATAGGGCGGGCAGAAAGTGGTTAAATAATACTCATAATTATAAGAAATATTGATCAATTCATAAAAAGTCAACAGTAAATTCACCCTTTATTCACTGAGTAATGATCTACCTGGTTTGAAAAAGCAAATTAACAAATCCTATTGTTTAGAAATTTGTATTGACAAAAAAAAAAAATCTCTGAAAAATTGCAGAAAATGTATCTAGATTTATTCTCCCTTTCATGTTAAATTCCAGTTCTGGTGAAGGGATGAATGCTGCTCAACTGACCCCAGGAGTCCAATGTTAAGGAATGGCCTTAGCTGCCATTCTGGCCACGCCCGCTGATGCATTTTGCCCCACCCACTTGGGGGGCTGGGTTTCATTTCTGGCAACAGTGGCTTCTTAAGTCTTAAAAAAGAATCTTGAAGAAACATCAACTGATCGGATATAGTGAATCTAATTATTTTCTGTGAGTACCCATACTATTTTTTTTGCTTAAGTTCTTGATACCACCCACTAGCTGCATAATCACTCAGCATTCATTGTCTAGCTTTATAAAAACCATTAATGGTGAATGTCAGAGAAAAGGCAGTAAATACAGGTCTATCCAAGAAACAGTGCCTGGTCTCATCCATCCTTAATAAATAGACTCAGTGTCAATATTTAGTCATTTTTACTGAAGTAGGCAACACATGGCAAAACCGGGCCATTTAATTTAAACAGTGTGCACTTGCACTTTGCTGATATTTAATAGCTCTATCCCTACATGCATATAGTCAATCGAAATTTGCTGAGAACAATAGAACCATTTGCTCACTGACTATGCATTTTGTCAAATGGCGATAAGATTTTACATTCTATTCTTTTGCTCACTTATCATGGTATGAAGTTGTTTGCTCCTAATGCATAAAAACCTAGTTGCTAGCAGATTATCTAAAAAAATGACCCAATCAAACAGATAACTGAATCTTGGTATAATCAAAAGATTAAATAAACCCTCTCCCGAATTCACGACACTATTAAACCCTCACCGTTTTTTAGCATAGCAGTTTGTGCACAATATGATAAACATTCCCCAGTAAACTATGTGTTCAAATTCTTACCTCAACACTGGTAGTATGCAACGTTCATTTCTACTGGCTCCTGTTCTCTCCGGCTGTTTCTCTGAATTTCCAATCTTCATAGCAAAGAGTTAACAGTGAACTGCACAGTCTTTTAGCATGGAGAAAGGAGGCAGGAGAGTCAGGGGAGGGCATTACCATCTAAGGCTGCAGGGTTGTGTGTTTCTATTGATGTACACAGTGTAGGGAGACACAACTCTAGCCCCTGCATGCAGGAGTGGCTGCATAGGATGTTGCAAGAAAAAGGAGCCACCCTGAAACTGGAAACCTGGGACACTGGTTGATGGCACCAGCCTAAACTGAAACAGGCAAGGTTTAAAGGATAAATAAAATTGCATACTCAGTAAGTGATTAAATCAGCTGCTGAAATTGCATAAAAAATGAGGGTTTAAAACCTAAGTATATTTAAACCCTAATAAACTACTTTTATTGGTTCCATTTTGGTCTGGTAAATAAATCATTGGGCAGCACAGTGGCTAAATGGTTAGCATTTCAGTCCAGCAGTACTAGGGTAATTGGTTCAAATTCCAATCACGGCACCACCTGCCTGGAGTTTGCATGTTCTACGTGTGCCTGTGTGGGTTTCCTCCGGGTACTCTGGTGTCCTCCAACACTCCAAAGACATGCTGGTAGGTTAATTGGATCCTGTCTAAATTGGCCATAGTACATGAATGTGAGTTAGGGACTTTAGATTGTACACCCCTTGAGGGTTAGGGACTGATGTGAATGTACAATATATATGTAAAGCGCTGCATAAACTGATGGTGCTATATAAGTACCTGAAATAAATAAATTCATTGAAGAAATTTTATTTTATCTATTTTCTATGTGTAAATACCTGTTGATCCTGCCAGAATACTTGTGAGCTAATAACTTTCTTTGCTGACCTCCTGCGCTGCACTCTTCTCTTGGTACACCTTTGGCTTGGTACACAGTTCTCCCTGTGGAGAACAACTCCCCCCCCCCCACATTGTTATGGAAAAGACGGGAAGCAGGCATGTTTTGTAGATATAGTAGATACAGTACAGTAAGTGCTGTCATCTATGACTAGAAGTAAGTCAGTTACTAAACCTGGCCATAGATGGGTCACTTTCTTTCAATTAGCCAGTGGGCTGAGCAAAAAAAAAATGATTGGATTCATCCATCCACACAAACAGATGAAGGAATTTTCTCCGCTGATGCATTATATTCTGACAGCAATGATCAGTGGCTGCAGCCCATTGGCTACAGCCACTGATAGACAAACGTTTTTCAACATTCCTGTTCAACAGAAGCCAGTTGATTGATTGATTGATTGATTGATTCTGTTGAACAGAGACTCCCACACATGGATTGAAAGTTTGCCCAGTCCCTGTTGAACTAGATGAAATTATGGCATGGAAGGTTCTGCACTATCATTGAAAATATTTATAATGCAAAACCAAATATCTGCTTCCTAATATAATAGGATGAAATGATTGCTTTCCTTTCAAAGCCTGTAGACGTGAATCATTGAAAAATTAGCTCATTGATGGAAATTTAATTCATATTCACCCAAGAAAATGTAAGTGTAACAAACCTGACTACATTAAATCATCAAAATAAATGTTCTCATGGAGGAGAGAAGTTATGACTTATTGTTTAGTCAATATATATTTTGTGATGAGCTCTTTAAACAAGTTTAGTCACATCCAAAGCTATGCTCCTTTCATTTTATGATTTCAACTTTTTAAACCCTTGATAGTGTTTGAAAATATGAAGGTCCTTACCTATACTATACATTGTATGAGGATTAACAGTATATAGTGTTTATTATCCAATCTCTTTTTAGTCAAATAATCTAGGATAGCTCCAGGGAGTGACTATATAAAACAACAAGCAAAAAAACTAAAACAAGGACACTTTGAATTTGTAAAGGGGCATTCATTTAAAACAAATACAGCAGTTGGTTATACTAAGTTTTCTAATGCACCTCTTACAACTTTACCACTAGGAGAAAATGTTTTAGCTATCTGTTACTTACAATACTAAATTTGAATGTTTCAAACAATATTACATGGTGAACATATACAAGCATGTCATTGCCAAGGTATTTAAAGTGGTTCTAAAGGCTCAAGGTTTTTACCTTTATGCACCCCCTAACACTTACCTAAGACCCATCACGATCCAACGATGTCCACAAGAACCTTGGTTCTCCGGGGACTCTCAAACATGATTGGCTGAGGCAGCTCAATGACAGCCAGTGAGCCAATCAGGAGAGGGCGGGGCTGAGCCGTGGCTCTCTGAATGGACAGGCAGAGCCATGGCTTGGGAGCGCGTCTGCTCGGGTACCCCCATAGGGAGGAAGGGTGAGGAGCACTGGTGGGGGATCCAAGAAGTCATGTTTGCATTATGCAATCTCATTAGGTGCTCAAAGTGGTCACTATTAACATCCAGATACTTATGATTTCAGTGAACTACTGCATGAACAACATTTACCAGAGTGTCCACAGGAGTTGCAGTGCACAATGCTTCAATTTCTTCCCGTAGTGCAGTCAGTGTAGGTGGTCCACATCCTTTAATTTTCCCCACAGACAGAAATTGAGGGGGTGTTAACTCTGGGGTCAATGGCACCTCTATGTCCTATCCAATGTTCTGGCAGAATGTCATGGAGATAGGCTCTTACGTCTTGGTGGTAGTGAGGTGTTGCACCATCTTTGCATGTAATAGTCTTGGGATGAAAAATTTATAGTGTGCTCTCTTCAGAATACTTTGTATGCTAATTGCTGTCTCATGTGCACATTGCTTGACAGACGTTTGCTGTGTGCATGTAAACTGTTGCAACACCATATTCAGAACTTGTTGCCTCCCAGATCTTTGCTTGTGCCATCGGTTTTGAACTAATCTCAAATTTGTATGACAAATTTGTTAGTCGTGTTTGTGGTTCTGTTCCAAACTCACGTCACCATTGTCGTTGAACTTCACACACATTTTCAAATTTACAGTGCCACTTCAAAATGGTCTTGCATTCCTCGAAAGTCAAGTGTACCTCTGCCATTTTGTTTGACTGTCTCCTGATGGTCACATGATGACATCAACAATGGTGCAACTACTGACATCTTTAGGGGAAACATAATACTACACATTGCTGCCATAATTCAATTCACATTTTAAAAAAGGGCATAGATAACAACTGTTGAAGTGTACTAAAAATTTTTGGGCCCCTCTGTAAATATACATAGTTTTGAAAGGTGCAAATTCCAGACAGGTCTTCCTGATCCTGGCTTCACTGTCCAGTGTGTCACTGACTTTAAACTAGCATGGAGGTCTGAAAGGTTCAAGCTCTCTTCCTGCATTAAGGATGCCAGTCCCAGAACATGCACAGTTATATTAGATCAGCAGAAGTAGCTAAAACATTTCTAGCCTGATAGGTTTTATTTAAAGCATCAAACCAACTTACTGGAATACCGTCATTGATTCTCATGGTAGAATACAGGTCATTACAATACTTCTTTCCTTCTTTCAGTCAAAGGAAACCATCAAACACCTTTCTGTATGCCTCTGTTCCATT